GAAGACCAGACATGAAAAACAAGCAATTTCAAAACCAAGCTACACAATCTGATCAAGCCACCAGGCAACAGCTCAGTCCTTTGCAGCTCCTCTCCTCTGACACCATCCTGTGCACAGAGGGTACAGGGCGACAGCTGCTGCTTCTGGCTGAACAGCATGTTTGCATTTTCTCACAGATGTAAAAAAAAAAACAAAAAAACCAAAACAAAACAGAAAAACCTTCCATGGAATTTACAAGAGTTCAAGTATTTGAGCTGCTGCAGACTGTGGTGGATCTTGAAAGGCATCTTTCATCTGGCAGGTGTTTAATTTATCCACGGAGGTGAACACTTTGATGGAAGAGCAAGACTGGTTTGGGTCTAACTTTTCTTCATTGTGGTGTGCTGTGACCAGATATGAAACCATTTTTACTTCTTTTAATCCTTATTGCCGAGACCAAAAAAATTTGGTACTGGCTGAGCATGTCACAGCTCCTTTTTAGTCCAGGATGCCCCAAAGTACTCACTTTCCTCAAGAAAACAATCAATGCAGAATGGGAACAGAAGTTGGGGGAATTGAGGGAACTTGGAGACTAGGAAAGAGAGGAGGACTGGGCAGGCCACCAGGAAGCAGATCCAAGCACTTGAAAACGTTCACGTGGGCCAACAGCTACACAAGACTACAGAGAACGTACCAGCAACAACCTGGAAGTACCAGGCACAGTTACTGCTCCTGTCATGCACGACAGCTTCATACACCTTTTTCAGGAGAAGCCCATGCTCTCTCCAAAGAGGTGCAACACCTAAAGCATGGTTTTTGCAAACCCTTACCCTTCCCATCAGAGATGTAGGGGCTGGCTTGGGGCTGGGGTACCAAGTAAGCACCAGGTACAAAGCAGCCATCCCTGCTCACCCAGCCTTGGAGCCAAGCAACCTCTCAGCTACCAGAGGAAGTGGGAGGAAAAACGTCGGACTGCAGGGAGCAGATATCACTGCCCACGCTTCTCTTGGCACTTGGACTTTCCAGACAGCATATAAAGAAATTGTTTTCTTGTTGTTTTTTTCAATGCCACTTCCAAGTTTAATGCCATTCTTTGGCTTATTCTGATAGACACTGCCAAACTCAGCAAGAGCGTGTCACACCTTAAGCACATCTTGTCTACTTGGGAAAGTTACAGCAGCAAGTTTTACTGAACTATTAAGATAAAGCAATCTGCAGGAGCTAATGAATTGGCATTCATTTTGCCCAGGCTAGCAAAATGCAGCCTAGAATTAAAGTGACACTTTATTGATAATAGATCAAGTTTTGCCCTATGCAATCCATAAAAATGAATCAGACATAAGATACCTCACAGTAAATTAGCAGTTTTAAAATAAATACAACAGCAACTCAAATACCTCGTGCTCTGCATCACTTATATTCCACAGCATTTTCTCTCCATAAAATAACAGACACATGAACAAGTTTTTCAACGAAATTATGACCAGCAGCTTGAGCAGACAGCCCATCCCCTGTCCTACTCATGTCCCAGACTGCTTATGCAGGACTAGAAGGTGACTGCTTTGCAGCACTAATCTATCAACAAATACCACTCGCAGAAATCCTTGGTGTCCGCGGCACTGCAGAAAGTAATCTGGGATTGAGTTCAGTTCTGGGCCTCTCACTCCAGGAAGGACACTGAGGGGCTGGAGCAGGTCCAGAGAAGGACAATGAAGCTGGGGAAGGGTCTAGAGCCCAAGTCTGGTGAGGAGCAGCTGAGGGACCTGGGGTTGTTGAGCCTGGAGAAAAGGAGGCTCAGGGGAGATGACCTGGCTCTCCACAATTCCCTGAAAGGAGGTTTGAGCCAGGTGAGGGTTGGTTTCTTCTCTCAAGGGACAAGCAACAGGACAAGAGGAAATGGTTTCAAGTTGCACCAGGGGAGGTTTACGTTGGACCTGAGGAAAAATGTCTTCCCCAAAAGGGTTGTCAAGGCCTGTCCCAGGCTGCCCAGGGCAGTGTTGGACTCTCCATCCCTGGAGAGCTTTCAAAACTCTCCATGTAGGATGGGGTGCTGGGAGACATGGTTTAGTAGTGACCTGGCAGTGCTGGGTTAATGGTTTGACTTGATGATCTTAACGGTTTCCTCCAAGCAAAACAATTGTATGATTGAGCAGCTGAGCTAGGACAATTACAGCAGGATACGTCACTACCTGAAGGAGTGCCCTGGGATGAAGGTGGGATGCTCCAGCCCTGCCAGAGGCACACCCAGTGGTGACTAAGAGAGAAAGCAGCCCTGGCATTTCCCTACTAATCTATAAGATAGATTATATCCTATGAGTCAAAAGTAGCAATCAGAAGTAAAATAAAAAAATAAACCAGCCAGCAGGTAGCAGCCTTTGTCCTCCTGTAACTTCTGGTTTCAAAATCAGATCTCTTTTTTTTTTACTACCAGCTTTTAAAACAGTTGGGAACAAGGTTATGGCTGGTTTGACTTTACTGCAACATTATACGTTTTTCTCTTCAGCTGTTCATTATGTATTAGAAACCCATTCACTGTGCCTGCCAGGATGTACAGCACTGATAGAGAACTCCCACCCTAGCAGCAGCTTCACCTGGAAGCAAGTCCTCAAGAACAGTCCTCAAGATATATCTTCAAAACAACAAGATATAAGAAGCCCACGCTGCTGCTTTGCCTGCCGACAGGCAGCCAAAGCTCAATTTCTGTCTCATTCCAGTTTCTTTCTTTCTTTCCAAGAGCACCTGTAAGTATCACCAAGGGCACTGTGGCAATTTTCTTCCTTCATAGGCTCTTTGTATCACTGGCTGGCAGTGTTTGTGGGCACTTCAAGGCAGTGACAGGCTTCACAAGACCATTTAAGCACCTCACCTAGTCAGGATAATAATGCTTACGAAGGAAAACTAGTGGCTAAGTGACAAATTATTTCCCATTAGTCCCCTTCACTTCTCTCCAAAGGAGGTGTTTTCCGAGCTCTCTTCCATCTGTTTTCTGTGCACGTATTATATTGGACCAAGCATGTACATTGCATGGAAGAAGTAAAGGAGAACTAGATGTGTTCAAGTTAAACATTGGATGTTTTTAGCTGATTGACAAAATAAAAAGACTTCCATGCGAAGACTGGTTGCTCAGCCAGGTGCTACTGCTGCTTTTCAAAGTACCAATTCAAGGAGATTTAGATCAGTAAAATGGTAACACAATTTCAGGATTTATGAACTTTATGTTCTTTTTATTTCCCAAACTACTTCTTAATTGAAAAAAAACATGTACTTAATATGGAAACAACAGCCATTTTCAGGACTTAAATCCTAATTATCAATTCACCAACATGCTTTTAACACTAATGCCAAGGACTGTTTTTTCTTCCCTCCTGCACACACTTCCTACTGTTGTTTCCTAAGCACAAGTGTACGTGGTATTTATTTAGCAGCTGTCATTTAAGATATCATAACAGTTTCATGGTTTGCACATAAACCCCACTTTCTGCAAGTTACCATTTGGGGGCTGAAGTTCATTAATGACTGCAGAGAGAAGATGAGTTTTTATTTGTCAAAAACCTGTTTCATTCTTTGAGATACACTGTGGGAGACCAAGAAATCTGATTTTCCATGTCTCACCCAAAACAGGCATCTCCTCCAAAACAGAGGACAGGCAAAATTCTCCTGCGTCCCCACAAAAACCAGCCTCTTACCCAATGCTCAGAAGACAGCTTTCCAGAAAAAAAAAAAACCAGCATCTGCTCTCCTGCCTGTCAAAGCCTGACATGTACTGCAGCTGATGTGCTTCCTCGCTATCCACAAGGAATGTGAAGGCAGCAGAGATGAGCCCCATCCTGGCCAGCAGCATCACAGCTCAGGCAGGAACACATGGCTGCATGGACACCATTATTTTATGGATTTTATTGGCAAAGCCACCTCCTTTGATGGGTTTAGGAAAAGTTCTTAAGATGGAGCAGGGCCAGAGGAGCCCCGGCAGTGACCCGAGGGTGGAACCCCTCTGCTGGGAGGCCAGCAGGAGAGAGCTGGGCTTGGGCAGCCTGGAGAGGAGAAGGCTCCAGGGAGACCTTAGTGCAGCCTTTCAGTTCCTAAAGAGGGCCTATCACAAAGCTGGGGACGAACTTTTTACAGGGGGATTTAGTGATAGGATGAGGAGTAATAGCTTTTAACTGAAAGAAGGCAGATTTAGATTAGATGTAAGGAAGGAGTTCTTCACTGTGAGGGTGAGGAGACACTGCCCCATGTTGCCCAGATAAATGATTGATGCCCCATCCCTGGAACCATTCCAGGTGAGGTTGGACGGGGCTCTGAGCAACCTGCTCTAGCTGAAGCTGTCCCTGCTCACTGCAAGGGGGTTGGACTAGATGGCCTGTAAAAGGTCCCTTCCAACCCAAATAAGCCTGTGATTCATAGAATAGTGAATCATAGAATTATATGATTCACTATTAAATATGCAAGGAAGTCCTCTCAGCTGTTCTTCGAGGGCTCATACTAACGAGACACAATATGCTGCAATAGCACTTCAAGTAAGCTGGAAAGGAATAGGCTCAATTGGGGTTCACACCATGGAAACAAAATGGTTAACTTCAGGAGGTGCTTTCCAGCCCTAGTAATCCCAAGTTCAAGGCTCCCAAGAAGCACACCCTGACCAACTTGAATGATCACCGATATTTAGCAGCCCTGCACTGCTGGCATGCTGCAGGCTCTTCTGGAGAGATCCATGTGGCTTCTGTGAAGCTGCACTGGTAGCCTTCTGCCTTGTGCCAGCATTCATTGTGTTTGTTATCCTTCTGCACATTGCCAGACTGCCACAATGCTTGGGTTGAAAGCATCACTGTTTTGACTGTGGCAGCACCCTCACCTTACAGCAACCCACCTTTTGCGCCACACCTCTCCACATAACGAGAACAATACCTGACAACATAACTGTTTGATGGGAAGTTTAAAGATTGATTGGGTAAGCAGAGAGTGGAGAGTTTATTCCCCTTCATTGCATTAGCTCCTCCCATTACTAGGTACACATCACTTACTTTCCGGTTGTTTCTCGTTAGGTGTTATCGATCTCACAAAATCCTGTGGGGTCATAAAAACTTCCGATTCACCGTGTTCGTTTATGACTTTCAAAGTGGCAAAGTATCTGAAGATTTTGTCTGGCGTGGAGTAGGCTCTGATCCTGTTCTCATATTCCATCACCTGGAAATGAAATTTAAGCAGCATTAGATGTGTGTGGTTCCTCCCCTGACACATACATTAGGAGCCACCCTCAGTCTGAAGGATTTTGCCACAAGACAAAGTTGTGTGCAGACACACAACACTTGAAAGAAAGCAAGCCGAAAGGGTCAAAACCCCTCCTCTTCTCAGCCTTTGAAATACCAGGAAAATTTGAAGTATCAGCTCCTGATGTCCCAGGATTAAGAGCAAACACCTGGAGTCTTTGCTATTGTTAAATTTTGACTCTTCATGAGAGGAAAAACAAATTAACAAAATCCCTGAAGACACTTCTAAACATAAAGGAAAAAAAGGCACTAGAATCACCTTTGTGAATGTAAAGAAGCTCAATATTTTAACCACAGTGTTGAAGGGTCTGACTTGTGATTAATAAATGAAGTAAAAGGAAAAAAGTCTTGGAGAGCTGGGAGAGACCTTAACTTCTGAACCGAGTCTTGGAAAAAACTACTTGGAGCCGCAGCTGGTTACTCAGTCACCTAACCTCATTTTTTCCTCTTTTCTATCACCTTGGCAAAATTCTGCAGAAACACTTATTACTCAGCGCTCCTCTCCCCACCAGTCTGCCACTTGCTAATTCTGCCAGTTGTGATTATTTGTACTTAGAACTGTTTTCCCCAAGACAACTGGAATTAGTCAAAGAGAACAGAAAGCTTTTATAAACAAAATCACAACATAAGGCCACAAGGGAGGAAAAGGGCACAAAGACCTATACTTCATTATGTGTTAGAGCAGAAAACTTTCCTTCTTAGTTCAGCTTTTTATTCCTGCATTATGCACCATGTTTAACAGTCCGTAATGTACTTGAAACCTTCAGTACTTCTGGCCAAGAGCCACAGGAGAAAAAAACCAACCAATGATCTGCTGGAAGAGAACAGGCAAGATGAAGGGTACTGCCAAGGCAGCTGTAGATCATTTATGGCTTTGGTTTTGTTTCAGCCTTGTCCTTTAACTCAAACAACTTCTCCACCCTGATGTTTATCAGACAGAATACACCCTCCCTGGTTTTTCATTTAAGGCTTTTAATCCTGCAAGCAGGGCTTCTGTAAAGCAACTAGGGGAAAGCAAAGTCTCTCCCCTACATTTCGCTCCAGCTCAGATCTCCAAATGTACCCGGAGTTGACATTACCTATAACAACAATATCTAAAGCATTCTCCCTGTTCTTATCATCACCACAGCTTTTTCATAATTCAGAAGTGTCCCAAAACCAACCAGCTCCCTCTTTCCTGGAGCCACCTGCATAGAAGAAAATTTTTTGTCCCTAGTGCTTTTTGCTACTAACCTTTGCACCTACGACTGAGAAACCTAATCCCATGTTTATTGCTTGAGTACACAAGGTTGTTCACAGGTAAGGGCACTGGACAGACTGCAAAGTTACAACTTGTTGCCTATCAGCCACGCCATAGTAAATGACAACATGGCCTTTCCCAGCTCCTTCCCACTGTCAAGCTGCACGTCTTCATTGACAGCTCCCACCCAGCAGGTGTTCAACTTCTCATGCTGAAGTGATCTTTTGCCTTGTGATTGCAGGCTCATATCTCACTCATTCCTGTAGCATGACCCAGTCTCATGAATAACACCTCCAACCAACCTGATCGGCCAAACCCATAATTAAGTATTTTTGCCTTAGAGCAAGACAAAACCAACTCTAGTATCAAGCCCAAGACTGGGGCCAAGAGCAAACACCACAGACCATGACCAGCAGCTCCCTGCATCCATGATAGTCTTTCCACCCAGCCTATTTTCTAGCTAAAACACTTGTCTGCCTGAGACTTCATGTTACTCCTGATTTTCCAAGCTCTGTGGAAAACTTTGTGCAAGGCACTTTCAAATGCTTTCCATCAACCCAGCTAGGTAGGTTGCACCTCCTGTACTCAACTCCACTGCTGCACAGGAGACATTACTCCTAACATTTCCTCCTGTAAAACCATGCTTCTTTTTATCCCATTCAACTTCACATCCTCAATGGACTTCCCTCTGTATCTGTTTTGAGGTCTTGCCAAAATGCAGCTGATGGGCCTGTTGCCATCAGGTGCGTTTCTTCTCATTTTTTGGAGTACAGACAATGCCACTGTTCCTTTCTTGACATCTTTACCAAGACTCCATACTGGTCCAGCAACTTCACTGCCACTTCTTTCTTATCCCAAGCTCAGTGTAATGCTCAAGACCTCTCCTTTATTTAAGCAGCCTATATTTTGCTTCAAGCAATTTTCCAACAACCCATTCAGATTCACACCACACTTTGAAGCCCACCATGATCATCGCTTGCCACAGAAGCGAAGTGTCCATTTACTACATGGCACTTGCCTAGATCATTTGCCATCCTATCTTCTATCCACACACACTGCAAAATGAAAAGCTTCCTCAGATGACTGCCAGGCACTCATGAGGATGCAGGGAGAGTCAGACTTGCTCAAAAGCCACATGGCATGGCTCACAAAAGCCTAATAACAACACGGGCTTAAAAGATGTCTCCTGTCTCAGCACACAGCACAACCCTGCACAGATCTGCAAACCTTGAGGTTTGCCCCCCATGAAGTCTGCTGTTTCATGACAGATATATCAGTGGTTTTGGGTTCCTTCTGCTCCAACAAGAGCAGCCAAATGCCTCTACAGAAACAGGACCTGAGTGCACAACACATGGAGAGCTGACCATGCAATTTTGCATTATGCCTCAAAGCAGCACCAGACATCAAAGCAAGAAATTAAGGATTTTTAATTATCATCTTCTGATGCAAAGTTTGCCATGTCTGGCTGAAAAGAGCTGAGCTGACCATCTCCATGAGACCTCAAAGCAGCCCCTCCAAGCACACTACAGTTAAGAAACGGGCATTACCTGTTAAGTGATTTCAGTTCCAGGTCTGTGAGGGACCATGCTTACCAACTCGCTTTCATCGGAAGTTACTGTTAGCTTTAATTATTTGCATCCTTCTGAGTGCCAGCAATTAACTGTGATGTACACAAACATCTGTTTTCATCAGAAATGTCCCAAAAACAACTGTTTTCAAACAAGCTGTTTTCATCACAACCAAAATCACACTTTTTCCTCAAATCTGCCTAAGAGAAGTGAGCAAATGCAACACCACTTCTTCCCTTTTGCCCACAGCTGAACTCACAATTACCTCATCTTCACTGACATGATCTAATCAGCTGGCAAAAACTAAGACACACACTATAACCCATCCCTCTGCTTTAAGACTGGATTGAACATGAAGCCACACCAAGGAAATTTTATTTTCAAGGAAATGACCAAGACTCTGCAAATGGGAACAATTCACTTACTCGAGATGGGATAATATGGGTGCCCTGGTCTTACTATACAAATTTGACACATGTGTATGTATTTGGATGTACATACCACCATTTGTGAGGTTGCTGTGTTTTTGGGTTTTTTTTAACACTACTTAAAAAAAATCTGGACATATCATCCCAGAAAAGTCTCTCCTGTGATCTCTTGCATTAGTCCTTGATGCAGTGGAGATCAGCCAAAAAGTCCTCATCCTGATCTGAAAACTGCAGCCTCATGTAATTGGGGGCTTCCAGAAAGCTTCTGTGACCAGTAGAGAAAAATCCCTTTTTGGCATTTATCAATAGGTTATGTACTGGAAGCGAAAGATGAGCCAAGTAATCCCTATTGCTCTACAGGAGTGATGCTGCTGGTGAGACAGTCAATGTTCATGCTAAGCCTCAGGATAAAAGGAAAAAAAAAATTAAACCTCATGCAGACATGAAAATAAAACTCTTAATTAACATCTGAAGTAACTTCCAGAGCATCACTGGGACCTTCCCTGACCATCTGGCAGAATGGGAACTCTGGCAGCCCAGCTCCACCGCACATATCTTAGCAGGGTAAATGATTTCAGATTAATTTATGTTCAGTTTCCTATGTAATGCACACCAAAACAAAATCTCAGGATGACTCCCCCTCCTCAGGAAGCATAGCTGCAGGACTCGGCAAACACTGTGAGCGGATCTTGATAAAGCAGTCCTAATGCTGTGTGCAAACTCCTCTAACTAGTTAATTAACATGTCAGCCCACTTACATCATCTATTACTGCTCATTAGCCTTCAAACTATAAAAGCACTCAAACAATCTTTTCCTTTCCTCCCTTATGCAGTCAGGACCTCTACATTGCATAGGCTGCAAGACAAGATGCTCCCTGGAACCAGCCACACACAATCCCAGCCCCAGCAGATGCCAAGTTATTTAGATTTCACCTTCCTCTTCACTGAATCACCACCCAGAACAGCAATGTCATGTCTAATTTGTTATTTCACCACTAATTGTCTACTTCATTAAAAGCAACACTTGGCTAATAAACAAGTGTTAAACACTTTCAATTTATTTTTAATTTATTTATTTTTTTCTCAAGGAAAATCCCATACTATTTTTAATCAGTTATGGGAAGACTTGGAAAGGGCTTTTACTGTTGTGCTTGGTTCTTTTAAAAAGCATATAAAATGAGTCAGGAGCTCCCTAGGTGCTACACAACTGATTGGGGGAGCAGCACATCCTGGGAGCAGCCCTGATTGAGTGGGGAGCTGGGACACACCTTCATCCGTCATCTGAGCTGGAAACATTCTAACCTAACTCCCGAGATGACTCACTAGGGCAACCACGGATCAAACTCTAAGCCCACAACCGAGTCACTCAAACAAACACAGAACCCAGGAGACTACAGGCTACATCCTGTATTAAGCTAAGCAAAAGCAATGCTGGCATTCAGGTCACAGAAGGCACATTCCATCTTAAAGCCAGAGGAAAAAAGGCTGAAGTTGTCAAAAAGACAGCAAAGTCTGTCTTAAGCAATGCTCCCCTCTCTGCAATTGCTGCTCCTAAGGAGAAGGAAGGCAGGCAGTGGTTGGAGAAGGGACCCAGGGTGCACGTTGTTCCCACCAGACCTCTTTTGGGCACCCTCCACACCTGGCTCATGTCTTGTTTGGAAAGTGTAGACACACTGCTCCCTGCCTAGTACAGGAAAGAAAGAGCTGGTCAATGTAGACACATCCCCTAACAACTGGAATAAAAGTCCTCACTCACAAACAAACATTCCCTGGCTTCCCTAGCCAGAAGAAACCAGCCACATAAAACAAAAATCAATAACTTTATTTGGTGTATCAACTAATGGTCTTTTTTAAAAATAAGAGTGTGGATGAAGGTGGATCATTTCTTTGCTCTTTGCAACCTGTCTCCATCTGCTGACACCTAAAAAGAACTTGCTTTTCTTCAGTGATACTGACAAGAGTTGACGTTTTGCTAAAGCTGTTGGAGTACCTGACACCCAGTTGCCAAGAACATTAGCAGAAGCCAAGAATCCATATTCCTGGACAATTCTGAATATCTTACAATATACCTCCACTGAGCTGCCACCAACATGTCACAATAGGGGAAGTTTGGAGCCCGAAATACCACAACACATTTGACATTTCAAGTTGTGTAATCTACTCTAACCAAGAACAGAATATAATTCAAACAAAAAGGCTCTTAATTTTTTACGAAAAGCTTTCAGCCACTATATATGACCATCCACGAATTAACAGCTAATGAGATGCAGCCTCCAGAATACAAACTTTAAAATAATTATCAGAAGCAAATCGTACAGAAAGAAAATGTGAAGAGCATATATTCCCATTCTCCTCTTTGGTACTGCAAAGATATTAAATCATCAAACACAGCCCAATAAAACTGACATCCAGATAGGTTTAAAAAATAAAATACTGCTGTCTGCCAGCTCTCAGTTACAAGACTCTCCATCAGACCAAATCATACATCTCATAATAACAGTGGTGGTTGTTAGTACCAAACTAGTTGTCAGACAGCTGAGGAGCCTAAAGCTCTCAGGATTACCCAGCGGTGAAGGCGCGTAACAAGTTGACAATATAGTTCATTACTCAAGCTTTCCTCCTCTTGAAAAAGAGGCATAAGCATTGAGAGAGAGACATGACCAATAATGAACAGGCAGTGAGCCTGTATTTCAACAACTACATTTACATTTTTATTGTATTTAATTTTAAATTAAACTATGCCTTTCCTACAACCCTCCTTTGCACACTTGTCCTTCTTCCTACATACACTGTGCACGTTCACAGCCAGATGGACTCAGAGACATGTTGGATGCCCTCGATCATTTTAAAACTTTTGCACCCATTCCCTACTTTCCATGCACTCTCCTAAGAGCCATTGGGGCAGCAGCTTTGATTTCTCAGCAAGCCACTTCTCAGACATCCAACTGGAGATGGAAAAATGGTCTTCACTTCAGAGGATCAGAGTACTCTGCCTTCCCACTAAACAAGTTCCATCCTGAAGAAACTAAAGGTAACGGTGTGCCAATAACGTAGGTTCCCAAAACAGTAGTCTCAGAAAGTAAAGCCAAAGTAGAGAGCCAGAGCCAGTCTCTGGTACATGTACTGGACCACAATTTGACTAAGACATTCTGCAAGTCTTCTCTCTTTTTTCAGTGCAGTGCAACGGCTGCTGGTGTTAACCGGCCCAAGTTTGGTACCTTGCGGTCCCTGAACCCAGAACGCTTCTTCTTCTTCCCTTCTGGCTGAGCCTCCTCATCTCCTGATGCAACAGCTTTTCTGCCCTCACTGCTGCTGCTGCTCTCCTCCTCCTCATGCTTCACCTTCTCACTCGGCTCTGTCCTCAGATCGTGTTTTACAGAGGATGAGTCACCTGCGTAGGCCCTGAACAAGGAAAGAGAAAACAAAGGTTTAGGAAGTTATTGAGAGGGCGCTAAGGCCACAAAGATGGCTCTCCCTGAATGCAACACTTGTTACAGGTCAACATCGAGGATGGCAAAGCAAAAGCAAAGCAGTGAGCAGTCTCCCTGAAATACTGTATGCTTTTCTGCACTCTAATCAAAATTCCCACCCCAAACTAATAATCACAGTAAGTTTTCCTAGTCCAAGAACACTGAAACAAATCTGTGAATTCTTGTACCTTCCTAGCTAAACACTATGCACGTAGGGAGGATTGGGAAGGACACACCACACCTCCTCTAGTGGTAAATTCCACACCACTGCTCCCCCAGAGAAGATTTATATGAAGTGACAGAAATGCATTTCACCATCAGCACTGCAGGATTCAGAAAGAACAGGCTCTTTGTTTCAGCCCAGCTGAATTATTTTCTATCTCCAGCAGGTGACAGGGTGTTTTATTTCTCTACTCCACAAGTGACTCTTATAAAGTCTAGTGCTATGGGATTTGTGACCACAAGAACTGGAGTTGCCTATCCTCAAGCTGGAAGTACAACTCTGGCGGAGCAAAGGATCCCTGTTCCCTTGCTGCTCAAATACAGACACCTTCAGTGACTCTGTTCGTTGGCCAAGACTCAATACTCAAAATCACTCAGCCTAAGCCATGGGCAACTCACAGAATTGCTACTGGCAATCGGGTAGTTAAACAAAAAGGGGGATAAATCCATATGCCAAACAATGCTAAGGCTTTCCTATGCTTTACTTGTAAAGTGGTTTATAACCAGACAGAGCTCAGACCACATCAACATCAGTGAAACTATAATCTCTTAAGGATATGTTAATACGCCATGAGCAACAAAGCAAGCTGTTTGATGAAATTATTTCTCTTTCTGAAGGGCTCAAACAGCCCAAGCAAACATCCTAGCCTGCCTGTAACTTAAGCAAAGTCACCTTTCTTTGCATTCCTGGTGATTTGGTTTTGATTAATCACCGGGTACAGGGCTTGCACACAGTTAGGTGCCTCTCATTAGCCAGCGGCCTTCAGATGAAGGCCAGTACTGTGGTACTCCCTGTGACTGTGACACGGGCATTTACAGCTGCTGGCATTTATTCAAGAAAGGCTGCCTTGGGAGAAAAAAATAAATCAACATTTTTGAGGTCTCCTAAGCTCTAAACAAAAGGCTACACATATTTCATACCACCAGTTTCCTGGAAAACACAGATGTGGTGTGTAAAATTAACAGAGGAGAGTCTGTGCCTGTCTCCCCAGCAATACACAGCTCTGCAGCAACTCAGCGCATCACCTTCCAAGAAGGAAAGAGGGTAGGTGCTCCTTCATTTAATTTAAATGCTACCAAAATATAAGACTCACTCCTTAACAGCATCCAATAATTCACAAAGTCCCAGAACAATATAGATAGGGAAGAGCTAAAGAACTCAAATCCTTCCACAGCACTGCTGGAAAGCTAAAATTTCATTATTCTAGAATAAAGCCCCTAAAAGCATACTTAAGAATACAGTTAATTGTGCTGAAAGCAAATGAACTTTAATTCATACTGTGACAGCTACTTCAGCAAAGACCAAAGCACACAAACAACCACCAACAGCAGCACTTGAAAATGCAACAACCCACGGCACTATGGCTGGCTTAAAGCAGTCCAGATATTTCTGGTCCATGCTGGGACAGAAGATAACTCCAACACAAGGGTTTGATTTAATAAAATACACAAGTGCTTGGTGAAGAGTGGTACTAATTCTGCCTTGTCAAGTAAAATGGATTCTAACAGCTCAGCAATTCCTTCCTGAAAAGGTCCTGAGCCTCTATTTGCCAACATACTTTTGTAAGTCTTACTGCAAAGCACCATCTTTAAGACCTCCACTGAACCAAACTTTCAGAAACAGGATCCAACCATGGGTCCTTCACAAGCATCTTAAGATAGGGAATTTATTTCCCCAGAAGACCCAGGCAGCTGATCTGCCTCTTGGAGTCCATGCTGGCACTTCTCTTGAAGCCTTTCCTGAAAGTTTAATCAGCACTGGCACATCCCTTTGGAGTTGTGATTTTGGCTGATACATGGTTTGCTAGAACAAGCTGTTGCCAGCTGAGGCTACACCAGCAGTGCTCCCAAGGAAAGCCCTTGTGCAGGCAGGACACGAGCCTTAAGTAGCCCTGACAGAATCTCTCGGGAGAAGGATCCTGGGGACAGAAAAGCAATAGAAAAATGATTGCTTCTCTACACAGCCAAGCTATTCCATATTCAACAACCCAGAGAATAGCTGTATCAGTAAAGATTTGCTCCTTTAAGGCTTGACTGACAGCAAGCAAACTAGGGAAAGGATAGATTAAATTCAAAACCAAACATTTTCAGCAAATCCTATGCACTCCTTCAATCCATTACGCTGCCAAGTCCATTGGCCACAGCAATACCAACGTAGGCTGTTTGAATACAAACAGCTTTTTTTCCTCCCCCTCTAATTTAACCATGTAATTAACTCTGCTCTACGCTTGGATCACCATCCTCATCACCAGGCAAAACGAGCTATGAGAATAAAAACAGAGTTTGTAGTCTACTTCTGGAGCAAGGTTTTAAACAGTAACCACTACTCCTCACCTCCAGGCCACAGTCCAAAGTACTCACTGAGTTAACTGTTTGAAAGATCTGCTCTCTACATACACCTACTACACTGTGCTTTACATCCTGCACAACCATCCTCTGTTGAAGTCCTTGGGTTCCAACGTCTGCAGATTCCATACTGTACCCACATAAAGGAGTCTTTCAGTGCAGGTGTCAGAGTACAGCTGGAAAAATCTTATAGCTCCAGAAACATCCACCTTGCTGGACTATCACCAGCAAAGGAAGACTCTCCACCTCCTTTTTTGATGAGGCTGTCTTTCCAATGGCATGCCTCTTATGTACAAGAGGGAAATGAAAATACAAAGACTCCCTTCACTGTGTGCCAGAACTGGCTGTTAGCCTCTCTCCAGGGAGTGTGCCTGTGCCAGATCCTAGCTGCCATGCTTCAACATTCCCCATCACTCCAGGCTTCCCCCCTCCCAGTGAACTGAATTTGAGGCAAAGACCATATTTCCCCACCTACTTAGCAGTCTCTTATTCCTTGGAGAAAGCCAACAATCAAGTGTAAGATTAAGTTCCTCATCCCCAAAGACAACCACTGAGATACCACGCAAGACTGCTCAAATGCTAAACTATCCCTTGGTAAACTGTTATTTGAGAAAGCCAAACGCATGCAACCATAGGATACAGATCCACAAAGGATCCTGGGACTTACACCAAGCATGGGCACAATACTCCACAGCTGCAGGTCTTCCAATTAGAGAAATGACAATCCCTCACTTTAAAGTATTTTAGTGCGCTAAAATAATGAAGCTTTGTGCCAGAAATAACAGTGCTCAGTTATTCTAATCCTGAAGACAGAAGTATGAGCTATTCAATGCTGTTTAGTTTCAGATGGAAAAGTAGATCTAAAAAGAAGTTAGGTGCTCAGCAGTCAGCAAAGACACTGCCACCAAAGAAGCAGGAGAGCAGACTCATGCCTGACAAATGTCTTCTTCAGTTGACTAGAGTTGCTACTCTCCCTGTACATAAACATCTGAAAACATCCAGGCTTGGTTTAAAAGCCACTTAAAACTGCAGCCTTTTGTATTGAAATGAGACACAGCATTCATAAGAGAAGGCAACCTCCAAGGATTTGGAGTACTTTCAGTGAGGAGGTTCTGTGTCATCCTCAGCTAAACCATACTCAGCAACTGAATTAGCTGAAACTTTAATAAGAAATTAACTAGAAATTATGAAAATCGACAGCCCAATTTTTCAGGATGTCACCCCACTCACAGGACTTTTTACTACCTTGCTTCTTCCCTCAGCTTTCACGGTACTTGCCACTGACATGAATTAGCACAATGAATTTGTAGCAAGAACTGCAATGAATACACCAAAATTAAGACATATTCTGGAGATGAACATGAACAATTAGATTGCGGAGACCAATCTCTAGATATCAGCCATAGCCTAAAATAGGTCCAAGAACATAAGGAGACAGCATGTGCACATCCTTCCTTCCACCACAGCCAGCAGCAGGAACATCCCCACAGAAAACGCCTTTACCTACTGATAGTGCACTCCAAGGAAGAGCTGGACCAACTGTAGCAGGAATAGTTAAGGGGCCAGAACACACTGTTGGAAAAACTGACCTAAAGTTAGATTGCCACAAGAAAGATGGAAAAGAGGAAGATGAGATAACTGCTGCACAACTGCTGTCTTGGTCCAGGGATAACATGGCAAGATGCAGGACATGTGCTTAAGGACATCCTAAGGGCGAAGACTTACACATCAGGGAAAGAAGGAGAAGCCCATGTATACATACAGAGAGTGTTTAATGTTGAGGGCAGGGGAACACTGCAATCGGCTGCCGGGGCAGATTTATTCCGTCACTTCTCTCCTCATCACCAGCAATTTGCTAAAAATAGGTGAGACAGCTGCCTGTCAGGACTAGCTTGGAGGCATCCAGCCCTGCCTTGGCAGTAGACTAGCTGATTTCTCACGTTCCCTCCCACTCTCCTCTGCCGCAGCCCAGTTTAGACACCGACACCAGCATGTGGGTGCAGATAGACAGGCCAATGCGTGAGGACCACTGCTTCAAGCCCCTTGAAGGGGAATGCTCTGAAAAAGATAAACCTGAATGGTTTAAAGTCAGTCTCGCCAGCTAACTTGGATCCTGTGGGATAAGATGCTGCTCCTTAGAGAGGACTCCCTGATAGCCTGCAGAGCAAAAAAATTGCTTCATGAAGGACATCAGCCCAAATGACAAACAATGGAGGCATCATACTGACGTTACCGCAATATCCTCAAATTATAAATACGTTGATTTCTTCATACAGGAGATGCCTGGATTTCCAAACAGAGCTCACCCCAAGTGGGGTACAGAACTGTACCCCCAAGCTGCAGCCCTGATGGATGCACACAGCT